TTTGGCTCGCCTCTGCCTGACCTTTGGATTTGGGACTTAGCCCCCCATATCCCGTGAGACATTTCCTTAAGGTTTTGTGACTTTCTTGTGGGCTGTGAACAGCGGAACGTGGCACCCAGGGCTGTGAGGGAATATCCGAAGAGGAGCAGTGGTAGTTGACCTCCGTGAAAATGGAGCAAAAAGCCTTTCAGAAAAGCTTGACTTTGGGATGTCTCTAATCTCCGACTCCTTGGGACTAAACACCAAACCAGTCTCAACACCATGGCGTTGGTTCCGAACCACTGGGCTCCGAGAGGACAGTAGAATGGCCTCGTGGGTTTCTGGGAGTGGCACTCTTTATGGGAGCAGCACGCCTCATCTTTCTCACTCGAAACAATTGGTGGGTTTGAACTGCTGATCCTGTGGTTAGCACCCCAACACAACCAGCACTCTACCACAAGGGCTCTCTAGTCTGGTATGGATACTTCTCAAGAAATGACTACCATACCAACACTTAAATTCTGCCTCTTGTAACCAGATTGCTGAAAATACCTCTCTATGGAATTCTGATATAAAACACTAACAGTACTGGGTAACAGACCTTCCTTTGTATTTTAAAAAATTCATTAATCAGACACTGAATGCCTGCTTTTTGCTAGGCATTCATCTGTGAGCTGGGAATCAAAAAACCCAAACTCTTACCTCTGTAAACCATTTTCCTGAGAGAAGATAAACAATACAAGCACGCTATATGTGTGATTGCGGTAAATACTAAAGGGGGGGGGAAAGCAGGAAGGGTGGAGGATAAAATAGGTGGAGAAAAAGATAAAATTGTAATAGGGTGATCAGATAGGATCTGAATGAGAAGAGTATTCTTACATCAATAGCTGAAGAAAAAGAATGCTCCATCATTCTATGTGGTTGTCTAAGGAAAGAGCATTTCAGGTGCATTTGGGGCTGACAAAGAGCTAGGTGGGGGTTGATGTGGCTGAAAAAACAATGGTAGAACGTGTGGACAGAAGGGGAACAGGAGGGCCACTTGGTGTCCCTTGTAGATCATGGTTAGGTCTTAGGATGGTTGGAGCAGCCAGTGACACAATGTGACTGACTTGATATGTCGAAGAACCCTTCTGGCGACTGGGTCAAGAACACTGTGAGAGAGGACGGGACAAGGGCTGGTCACAAGGGCCGAAGCACAGAGACAGTTTAAAGGGCTAATAGCATCACCCAACACGGTTGACTAGCCACCGCAATGGAGTCATTATAATGTACCCTGTCCCTGCTGTCAGCATCAACGGGGAGGGACGGGAGCCATCCTGACTTGTTCAGTTTTCCACAGTAACCTGTGCTGTTATTTCACAGCCCGATTTGCATTGAACGTTATCTGTACCCTGCCTCTCTGAGGAATTTTCCTGGAAGGGAAGGAATATTTTATCAAATGGATTCTCTGTATCATGGTCCTACGGGAACCGTCCCTGGTGCCCACCCCGGGGCAAAGGAGGCTCCCATGAAGGACCGTGCCATTGTGATAGTTAGTGGTGGATCCTGACACTGTCAAGAGAGAAAAAGTAGGTTCATGGCTGCGGGGCACTGTGGAAGGAGAGGATGGTTGTGATAGCGTCACTCCTTGCCTTCACCCCTGTCACTGTTACAGGGAGTCCTGCTCAGCTAGGCCTCACTCGTCCTTCTGGTCTACCTCAACTCAGGAATTGCTGCTTTTTAAAACCATTTTATTGGCACAGTCAGATATGGGAGTTAGTGACGATAAGTACAAGAATGAAGAAACCATTCTACAACCAACCGTGGTGATGACTGCAGAACTCTTCTTGATGTGCTTCAGAATGGAAAGCCTCATCTTGCTCGTGTTGAGTGGCTAGTGGTTTTGTACTGCTGACCTCATGGTTAGCAGCCAACAGGTAGCCCGACAGGCGGAATTACTCCACAGCAGTTTATCTGCACCCTAAGGGCTTTGTACCACCGGGGCTCCTGAACTCATGGGTAAGTCGCATCACTACCCCAAAACAAGACCAGAAACAAACGAACCACTCATTGCCATTGAGTCCCTTCTGGTTCTTACTGACCCTGTAGGTGACGGGGTGGCACAGCCACCATGGTTTCTGGGACTGCCCATTTTTAGGAGAGCAGAAAGCCTCGTCGTTCTCGGGCAGACTAGCTGGTGGTGCAGAACTGTTGGCATGTGGCTAGCAGCCCAGCCCTTTGCCACCAGGCTTCCTCGCGTAATGTTAGGGCCGAGAAGATGTGCTGCCAGTCAAGTGGAGCAGCAGTGTCACAACTGAGACAAAGCTGGCAAGACTTCCTTCTACCCCAGTGTGGTTTGGCTGCTGCTACTGACCACACCATTGCTCTGATTGTCTTCTAAGGGTCCATTTGAGTTGTAAGAGGTCGACCAGAATTTCATCGTATGCTCATGGCCGCAGTGGGATTTTCTTTCATGATAAGATGCCAATGGCAGAGTTTGGTATCAGTTGAGTTTATCTATCCGTTTAGTTACAAACAGTGTCCACATTTTTCTTGGGTGGGAAAGAAATTAGTTTACATGCTGTGTGTATGAGAAGTAGGCAGTGAAACATCTATGGCGATATCTGGTTATATCTTTTCTTTGCTATCTTTATGTCCACTTTGCGTTTATTATCTCCCACCTTTGGGTGAAAGTGGAAAACACAAACAAAACAGGTACTTGTTTTGGATTCATGATTTTGTTGTTGTCAGTGACCCCACATGGGAATTTTAGCCACCTGGCTATTTCACCATTGTAAGCCTTCCCATCTGGATGACCTCTTACGATCCTAACAGTGACCCTGTGGGGTAGACAAGATGGGCAGAAAGAAGAGCCCCATTTTGCAGGGACTCAGGACCAGCTCAAGACCACGTGCATGCTCAAGGGTAGAATAAATCGACTCAAGTCTCTTAAATTCTTAGTGTAGGGCATTATCCCAACCCTAAACCATTCCTGAGCTCGTGCGCAGTCCCTTGTGAAGCTCACATAGTAACAGAGTAAATATAGTGCTTCCGTGACTCTACTCGTTCCTAACTGACCTCGCACAAGCTTGGGGGTTTTGTTTCTTGTTTTTAACCTGTGTCCTCGTAGAAATATGCAATAAGTCCAGAGAGGCACCAAACCATACTCTTCGGAAGTAGAAAAAAAAAACCCAAACATAATGTTGAGGGAAAGCAGTCAGAATGTACGGCATGATTCCTTTTATATAAAGTTCAAATACGGCAGAACTAAGCTGAGGTCTTCAAAGCCAGCCTAGCCGTGACCCTCGTTTGGTGAGTGGGAGACTAGGGGTACCAATGTGCCCTTTGGGGAGATTCACTGAGCTTTTGTTCTCCAGTTAAGCTCTTTTTTCCAATGCCTTATTTTCATCAGCGGTTCAGGGCCAGCGAGTCAGTTCTGACTCATCAGAACCCAAGGTCCAGTGGAACCCACTGCCCAGTCCTGTGCTGTGCTCGCAGTTAGTGTATTTGAGCCCATTGCTGCTGCCTCTGGGTCAGGGCAGCTCCTTTTCTTCTGACCGCTACTGGACCAAACATGATGTCCTTTTCCTGGGGCTGGTATCTCCTCGTAACCTGTCCAAAGTAAGTGGGCAAAGCCTCACCAGCCTCGTGTCTAAGGCGCACTCTGTCCGTTCTTTCAAGGCTTTGTTGGTTGGGCAGGCAGCGGTACTTTCAATATTCCTTACCAGCAGCTTCATTCAAAGACATCAGTTCTTCCTTGGCTGTCCTTATACCTTCCTCATCATTTGCGTGCATATGAAGTGACTGAGAACACGTTACTCTGGTTCAGGACAGGTATACCTGCCTCCTGAAAGCCGTATTGGTGCTCCTTCACACTGCAAAGCAGTCTCACGTAGCAGAATGTTCCGATGCCATGCATCCCTTGACTTCTTGGCTGCTGCTTCCCCTGTGAGCATTGATTGTGGATCCAAGTAAAATGAAAGCCTTAACTGCCCCCCCACCCCATCTATTATAATGATGTCTATTGGTCTAGCTGTAAGGATTTGTTGTGTTTGTTTGCCCTGAGTTGCAGTCCAGCCTGAAGGCTGCAGTCTTGATTTCTATCAGCAAGGGCTTCCGTGAAGTGGCAGCCCATTTATTTATTGTGTATTTATTGTGTATTATTCACTGCCGTTTCCCCACCAAAGCCCCCACCCCACCCCCACCCTCTGTTGCGATGTTGATTTCTGAGCAGACCAAGTTTTGAGCCCTGCGATTCCTTGTTACAGAGCCAGCTGCAGTGGGCCTATGGTGAATCACGCCCGTGGTAAAATGCTTGCCGAAACAGCTTTCTTGGGTACACGTTTGAAGGTGGTATGGGAAGAAAAGCATTGAAGAAGGGCCCTTCAGGGAGAATGTTAATCTGTATCAAAACAGACACGGCTCGAAATGTTCCCATGGAATTCTGATAAGGCTCAGCACAGAGCTGTCGTCAGCTTCTTAGAGTTTAACAATTTCACACTGATTTCACCACCACCCCAACCCCCCGCACCACCATATAAGTGGTTTCAGAAAAGTATAAATAGTCCAGCAACAAACAGCGGTTTCATTTTAGAAATGTCCCTCCGGGTCAGAGCCTAAAGGCTGTCCGATTGGAGCTAGAAATTACTTGGAGCAAAAACCGAAATTTTAATAAGAATAGAAGTGGGCATGATGCCTGTCAGGACTTCTGCTGGCTCTCGGGGCTTCTAATGCCAGAGTAAATCCACATGCTTCCTGACCACAAGACGTGCAAGAAGAACGCGGAGGGCTTACAAGATTGTGTGGATCGGCAAGGCCTTTGCTAGGCTCAAGGCTTAGCGCTTTAGGCCTGCGTGAGTCCCGTGTGATGGGTCCCATTCAAGATGACAAACCACTTCCTCGACAGTCATTGCTGCTTGTTCTGAAGGTGACTGATTTGGGCTTGATTTTAATCTTCCGTGTTGTTTACAAGTAATGTGTTTTTCGAATGTACCTATCATCAATTTACCTTGGTGGGCTTTTCTTTCTTATCCCCCCTGTAGTGTTCTGTCTCATCCTCGGAGGAGGAAAGGCATATTTCCATCAGGAGACCTAAAACGCCCACTTCAGGTGACTTCTCCGACCTTCACACTCACACGAACTGGACCAAGTCACTTCCGCTGCCAACCCCAGAGGAGAAGATGCGGCAACAAGCCCAGATAGTCCAGGCAGATGTGATTCCTATCAACGTGACAGGTACGCTTTCTATGCAGACAGGGTCCGAAGGTACTTGGAGAGGGACTGGGACTGTTGGCTGTTACATGCTTTGGGAGTTGCATTTGCACATCAAAGAAAAATAGCTGTGGTCCAGTTTCATGACCTGTGTGTAAGGAAGGCCATGCTAAAACATATGTGTTGCATCTGTGTAATTTGTATATTGCTTGTGAGATTAGAAAACTAAATGGATCCACTCAGTGATCTATGGCCAGCTTTCTATAACCAAAGCTTTGTGTCAGAGAATTTGAGGATTCATGCATCTATCTTTAAAAAATATTAATTTGTTTTAAAAAAAGATTCATAATGTTGCATATGAACATTTTCTAAATCTTGATCTGAGAAATATTTCTCTTTTTTTGGGGGGGTTGTTATTTTAAGTAATATTCAGAAATCTAAATAAATAATTAGGTAATAGATTTGTGATGTTTCCAGATGATAGATTTTCTTACTTTTCTCAAGTAGAAAAATGGAAAAAATTGCATGCCAGGAAAATACTAAGTGAAGTAACAATATGACCATATAACAACATTACTTAAAAGATGTAAGACAATGGCACACTTACATTTTGATACCCAATATTAGAATTCTAGAATCACCAAGTAAAAAGTCATTCATTCAGAATATTACATTTTTAGAACCACGTCAGCTGGCAGTTGCCAAGCCTGAGATTCAGGGTCTTTGGTAGTCCCATCCTCAGTCTTGAATCACCTGTGATGATTCATGGTAACAAAGGACAGACCGCTCAAAGATGACCTTTCACAGACTGAGACGCGCTGTGAGAAGATGGAAACCTGGCTCTACTTTGTCATGTCCACCGCCCGGAAAAGGGTTTGGGCTAACAATTTGTACAGTGTACGAAATTCAAATTACACGTGTTTAGAATTTAGAGCTTCAGCCTGAGACATAGATTACTAATAGCCATCCTTCATCATCAGTCCACACAGAAGATGGCCCATTGGTCCAGAACCTAAAAATGTCAGGAGCTCAGGTAGGGTACATTTTCACTAGAAAAAGGTGACAGCATTCCTGCAACTGCTGGTGGACACTGGTTGCTGTTTGCCATGGCTTGGATGAGCTTGGAAGGGGTGAATAGCATTTTAGTAGTTAATAACGTTTTATTAAAAAACAAATTGTAAGCTATTTAAAAATTAACTTTAAAACTCGCTCTTGAATTCTGTAGACATTTTCATAAATAAGTGCATCACGTATTTTAAATTCCATGTGCATCTTTCCTAAGCCTTAAAGAAATCATGGCATTTTAATCCATTTGCATTCCGAATAACAATGCTGAACTTTCAAATGTAATCACATTCTATTCTAAAGATTATAGCTCTTTTGTAGCTGTGTTCTAGAACAAGGTTTGTTCTTTATCGCTGTACTAAATAAATGGGCACATATTTCCTATAAGAACATCAGTTATATTATTTGATTGAGTAAATGCAGCAGTGTAATTACATTATGTTTGATTAAGTGCCTCAGAAATAATATAACAAGATTGTGCCGTGAAATGTGATAACCCTTAATGTAAGTAAAGTAAAATGAATTACCATGGGATTAGGGTGTTTAAAATAGAAAAACTAGAGATTCAAGGATACCGGATTATTTGTGATGATGGACATGCTCCTCACGGAGCATGGCATTTCTTTTGAGTTTTAATTCTCTGTTTGATGACGAGGTGGATCCAAATCACACAGGGTGGGTTTGCACATGTTAAACATAATTGCATAAAGCTTAAAAGGAGACGATGAATGACAAACAAATGAGCAATATCCATTATGTCAAACTGCAGTTAGATTTTGATTTACTAACAGTTTACAGAAATGTAGAAATTAGGTCTAATGTACATGTCTTGATCCATTTTCTCTATCTCTAGGTACACACACATTGTCTCCCAAAGGGACTAATGTGTCTGATATTTCAGGACACAAGAACATTAAACATACAAATGTCAGTGCAGGTGGTTGAACAGACAGAGGTTATACCATTTCCTGCACATTGCACATTTTTACAGCTCAAACCTTTGTGAAATAAAAAGGTGGCTTCCTGCAGAGGGGATTGGCATGTGCTCATTTATTTTGATGAGCACTAATGCTGTACTGTGATGTCCCAGAAGGTTCAGCAGGAAAAATATCAAGAGATATATTATTTTAAAGTCAGAGTGAAGCTCCCTCCCCAGGCATAACTTGAGAACGCCAAACATAGGTTACTGCTGGCTTAAAGATGGCTGTGATTCCTTTAGGTTAGAAATCCTGTGGGAAGTCAATGTAATCTTAACAGGTGAGGACGAGCGGAAACTGTGTGAAACAAAATGTATTGACATGCAAGATTGCTCCCACCTTTGCCACATAAGGTAGCAGCTCTTCCACCTGGAAAGGCCGTGGGGAAGCCGACGGAAACAGGTCTCACGAACTGGTTTTGTACTGAAGTTTGAGCTAGCTAGCACATTTGAAAGAGTGGCCATGACCGGCGAAGCCCTGATTCAGTGCAATGAAACAATTAAATTCCTTTCAAGTCAGTAGGTAGGATTGAGGCCAGGTGTTGAGCTGAAGGCCATGGGGATACAGGCACGAGTCCTTCCCTCAAGCACAGGGGAGGCCTGTTTTCTAGGTCATGAAGCAAGCAGGGAGAGTTGGGCGGCTTCAGCGCTCAATGTCTTAGCTGCTCATCTCATGGTTTGCTTCCTAATTCCTTGGTGCGTGGGTGGCTTGATCTTTTCTGTCCTTTAGGAACCACAGCTGGAGACTCAAAGCAACTTCCTACCAGTGTCACCCCCCTCCCTCCTTCTTAATTTCTTAACAGAAGACATTATGTTTTCCTTTAAGGCAGAGACTAATGGACCTTTGAAGCCATCACTTGCCCCTAACTTGCCATTCAGCCACTGCCCATACTGACCCAGTGACCGTGGTGATGGTGCCCTCTGGGCCTCAGGGTCTTGTCTCTCTGGGTCATTTCTACTCCCCCCTCCCCCATTGTGGACAAATTTGCAAGCATGCGTTAAGTTTGCAAGCATCTTTGAAAGATTGTTCAAAAAAAAAAAAAAAAGAAAGATTGTTCTTCAGAAGAGTGTTGACCATTTCAGATTGTTTTATCCTGTTTTGCTTGGAGAAAGTTCTATTTCCAACATCTTAAAACAGAAGCTATGTTGTATGTAAACCGTCCTTGTGAAAAAGAGTGAGTGTTTTTGCACTTCACTTACTACACGAGAGTGTCCTGGGTGTGAGATCGGGGTCTATGTCTGTGTACACACCCACAGAGCGCTCTCGAAAAAAATTAAAATCTGACCTTTTTTTCTTTTTTAAGAAAGCCAGTGTTGCAAAGCTGTCTTTAATGAATTTAACACATCATTTAACACAGATCAGTAGCTAAGCTTGCACACATGACTCTTGTTATGATTTCTCATGATGTGTTCATCACACAAGCTGATCCCGTAGGAAAGGAAAAAGGACCCTTTGGACATAGCGGCCTGGGTTTGATTTCCAGATCACCTGAACTCTCTGGCTTAACCCCAACGTTAAAATGGGGATTGTCAAGCAGCCAGCAGCACATAGTCTGGTTTTAACCCCAGCTGTGCTACTGGGTCTCGTTGCGATGAAAGCACGTTGTCATTATAAGGCTGTTTTGTTTGTGATAGGTGTTTTTCACACCGTGAAAATGACCATGGTTCATCCAGATTGCCCACCTCCTTGCTGGAAAGAACAAAAGCTCTTCATCCCAGAACTCTGCATAGTTTTCATTTCATCCCATAGACCAAGCTGTTCTCCTGGTCTCTGTGTGTTGGCGCAAATCCAATCCATCCACCGCCACCGCTAGACACACGCGGACATAGAGGTATGCTGACAACGGCCACCATCCTCCATCGTTCAAATAGCCCAGAGTCACCCTTCTGGTGTGTGATTAACAGATTCGCACTCACTCCTCTGACTCATCTGAAGTGAGACCTCAGTGCCGTCTTGGGGCGGACACGCTCACAGAAATCTGGAAAACGGCCTTATGATGGGAATGTGCTTTCTTCTTCTGTTGTTGGCCTTTAGCACCCATCACCACCACCACCACCACCACATGACTGGCTAACCTCATGATTAATACCTTCGTGTCATTTCAAACAAGCTTCTGGAAGACAGCGCATGGTTTCAGCTTGCTTGGAAGTAACCTGGCTTTGCTTGTTCTACTACTCTGCACTAGGGGAGAATTTCGATCGCCAGGCCAGCCTTCGGCGGTCTCTAATTTACACAGACACACTGGTAAGACGACCGAAGAAAGTCAAAAGGAGAAAGACTATTACGGGAGTGCCTGACGACATACAGAAGGAGCTAGGTATGGCTGCTCAGAACTGTGCTCTGCTGCCCTTCACTGCTGCCCTGCATGACTGCTCACCTCACTCTGGCACTGATAACATCTGTACATTCTGATAGCCATGGGGGCCCAGCTTCGTAGCTAAATGAGGCCTGGGCTGCAAACCATAACAATGTGTGGAGATGATTTGTTGAATTTAAATGAGAAGTCAGGGGAGGGTGGGAAGCTTGTAGAAAAACTATCAGCTGGGAGGTTAGACATTGATAGTTGACGTCATCACTGTGTTCCTCGAGCACTGGGTATTTCTGCAATTAACCTTCGTTCTCATTTTGATCATAAGTTTCCAAGAATGGGAGAACTCCCTTTAGGACTCCAGATTCTGAGAGTGGGGTCTGCTGGTTAGACTGGCACTGCTGGTAGAGGCTGCAGCCTAGCAAGATGCATGCGTATGACTAGACGAACATATCCCTCACATGTGTGCTCCATATTGCCTTCACGCACGTCCAGTGTGGCAGCCCCCTAGCATTTTGTGTCTGTGTTTGTCAGCTGGTGCTAAGCACGAGGAACACAGATCGGGGGTCCAGTGAAGAGGACTGTTAGTCCTTGCTCACCTCTGCATTTTGCTTCCTCTCTCTTTCATTAGTAACTTTCTCTCCACGATTCTTTGTGGAGTGCAGAGGCCACGTGGCTTGGTGGCTCAGGGGCTCTGGCGCAGGACCGCCACTCACTCTGGGTGACCTCAAACAGGTCACTCCGCTGCTACAAGTCTCTTAGCTGACTCATAGAGCCTGCCTCGGAGGATTGTTTGCGGATTAAATGAACGAGTTCACATGGAGCACTGAGTCAGCAGCCTTGGTGGCACAGTGGGTGAAGCACCGGGCTATCAACCCTGTGGTTGGCAGTTTTGAAAACCACCGCTAGTCCTCGTTCCTCTGGAGAAAGAGAAGACTGTCTGCTTGCATGAAGTTTCGTAAACCCTAGGAAGTAGTTCTCTGCCCTCCAGAGTCACTCCCTCAAAACAAAACCACCAAACTCAATGCCAACTCATAGCAAGACCATTGGACAGGGTGGAACGAGCTCTGAGTTTCTGAGACTAACTCCTGCAGAGAGTAGAAAGTCCCATCTTTCTCCCGAGGAGGGGCTGGTGGTTTTGAATTGCTGACCTTGCTGTTAGCAGCCCAGCGCATAACCACTACGCCACCAGGGCTCCCGTAGAGGCACTAGGAATCTAAATGGGCTCAATGTCTAGTGGGTTTGGTGTTTGGGAATTTGAAATACTTAGGTACCTGGTCCTACTATAGATGTAATTACTGTTTTAATTATTGACGAGAATTTAATATCTTCCTTAGAAATTGGCCTATTTGTTCTCAATTCTGTGTAGAAAATGCCAGATGACTACCTGGTATATTTTAATTCACTTTTGAAGACATGTAGGTCTGGAATCCCTGAGTGACATAAACAGTTAGGGGCTCAATTGCCCACTAGAAAATGGGTGATTAAAAACATCCCCCATGGAATATTGATTTAAATATTGATTTATTTTTGTCTTTTTTGTTATGTTTTATTCTGCTTTGTTTTACACATATTATTGTGTACACATGTCTATCTGGACAATCCGGAGGAGAGAACAGTGGGAGCGACAGTTCCGGGGGAACACAGGAGAGGGAGAGATCAGGGAACAGGAGCAGGGTGCCAACAAACTCAGGGACAAGGGAAGAATAAGTGATCTAAAATTGATGACAAGGAGGGCATAGGATGCTTGGGGGTGGGAGTGGGGCTCGATTAAGGACAATGTAGTTGAGAGGAATTACCAAAACCCGAATGAAGGCCGAACATGATAGTGGGACAGGAGGAAAGTAAAAGGAAATAGAGGAAAGAACTGGGAGGCATAGGAGAGTTATAGAGGTCTAAATATATGTACATGTATTTATGTAAATACATTTATATACAGTGACAGGGATAAAGATATGTACATATATTTATTTATAAAGTATTATGGTAGCAGTTGGACATTGGGCCTCCACTCAAGTACTCCCTCAACGCAAGAACAATTTGTTCTACTAACATGGCACTCTGTGATGCCCTGCCTTGGGCCTCAGTAAAAAGCTCCAGTGATCCAGATGATTTACAAGTGTTTTCTTAATGCACATGCGCATAAGGGTGTTTTAGAAACACAAGCCAAGTGCTTCCACGGGATTTATGAAATCTGTCTTTGGCGTATGTCCTTGGGTGCTGCTGCTGTCCTTAGGTGCCATCAAGCCGATTCATATTCATAGCGACATTGAGCACTCTCCTCCCCTCTTGCACCATCTGCACAATTGTTGTTCTGTTTGAGCCCATTGTAACCACACTGGCAATCCACCTCCTGGAGGTCAACCTTTTTCCGCTGCCCCTCCACTCTACCAAGCATGTGATGCCCTCTTCCAAGGACTGGTCTCTTCTGATGATGTGTCCAAAACCCCTGAGGTGAAGTGACCATCCCCATTTGTAAGGCGCCTTCTGGAGAGGTTCCTAACTTGATAGATTTGTTTGTTCTTACGGCAGTCTATGGTACTTTGAGGAAGCATCACCAACACCATAACTCAAACATAGCAATTTCCCCCCAGTCTTCCATATTAATTTCCCAGCTTTAAGTGGCAGATGAAGTCATTGAACATGCCATGGTTTGGGTCAGGCACACCTAAGTCCTCAAAGTGACATCCTTGCCTTTCAAAGTTTGAAAGAAGTCTTGTGCAGCTATGTGCAGTGCAGACATTCATCATTTGGTCCCGTGACAGCTACTTCCACAGAATCCTTGACAGCATCAGTCGTCTCCCCATTTATCTCTCTTCTATCATATACGACATTCTATTCTTTTTCAGCTACTGAGTTTGAGGATGTATTGGAATGGCTACACAGACCGTTCAGATAGTGTGTGTTATTACGGGGTTTATTAAAGAAGTTAACAAATTACAACACAGGTGAGAAATGTTCAGGAGACAGTGTTCAGCCAGACATGTTAGGACGTTCGCTTGGGGCTGCTCGTCAATGCTCAGCCTGAAGTCACTGGGCTCACGCTCTGTAGGTCAGCAACCCAGCGCCGCCAAAAAGTGCCCAGAGGCACCGAACTCTGCAAGCCAGCTTCCTGCTTCAAAGCACTGTTTCACTTGCTCGGGGGAAGTCCACCGCTAACTCATGCTTTGGTTCCTGATTATGTTGCCGCTCTTCTGCTACACCTCTGATGTCAGAGCCATCTTCTGGATCTAGAAGGTTCGCTGTGTACAGTTCTTGGGGTCCAGATGAGGCACGCCACTGCTGGCTCTTGCTGGTAGTGATATTTTGCCACCTGCTTCCCAAAGGGTTCACGTTATACCCAGCAGGTTAGCATTCCAGTGAATCCTGTTAATGTCTACTCCCTAGTGAGTCCCATCATTGCCGCCCCCACTCCCCCACCTTCTTACTCAGACCCACACGGGCAATGGTCCTTTGGTGGGAGTTACAGAGCCTTTGTCTAGAAGAGTCATCTGAAGTAATCCGCTGCCCCTGGAACCATGAGGCTATCTACTGGTCCGTTTGTGAGCATTTTGGATTTCTTTACATTGAGTTGCACTCCACCCGGAAGGCTGCAGTCTTTGATTTTCATCAAGAGCTTCAGCTTCTGCTCACTTTCCGCAAACGAGGTGGTGTCATCTGGATATTGCAGGTTGTTAGTAAACCTTCCATCCTGATAGCATGTGTTTCTTTTTACAGTCCTCCGAAGAGTTTTTGCTGAGCAACACTAGTCAGTACAGTAAAACCATATAACTCTGACATACCTCTTTAAACTGGGCAGTAATCCCTTGTTCTGTATTGCTCTAATATTTCATCCGCTGTTTCAAACATTTTCAAGTGCCAGTGATTTGGTTCTGACTCAGAGACCCTATGAACAACCAAACGAATTCATACAATGGCCAACTGGGTCAATCGATCTTGTTGAGTTTCTCCTTCTCTATCGCTGACCCACTGTACCAAGCATGATCCACCCCAAACCATCAATCTTGTTATCTTCCAAAGGGTCTCTAGTGCCTATCCATAAAGTCACTTCCTTGGGTAAAGGCACATCTCTTTAAAGACCAAGGTAAATTATAAATGTTAACTGAGTGTTGTAATAAGTGATTAATTTATTGATCACATATGGAATATATTAATATCAATTAGTTCAACCAATTAATTAGCTATCACCTAGAGCCGTGGTTCTCAACCTTCCTAATGCCGCGACCCTTTAATACAGTTCCTCATGTTGTGGTGACCCCCCAACCATAAAATTCTTTTCTTTTTTTTAAAATTTAAATTATTTTATTGGGGACTCGTACAACTCTTATCACAATCCACAATCCATTGTGCCAAGCACATTGGTACATTTGTTGCCATCATCATTCTCAAAACATGTGCTTTCTACTTGAGCCCTTGGTATCAG